TGTAGATAGTGAAAATTATGGCAATTCTGCAGGTCTGCATTTTTATACCTTCTATCACTTGAATAAGAACTACCAAGTTGGCTAACTTGTTTGTTAATAGTTGAGATGAAAATGATGGTGCAACGTTACAACTCCTTTTATAGTTATGATTTGAAACAAGTGAGCAATTTTGAGCTGTATAATGTAGCTTTAACAACAAACATAATGATTATTTGAGAGAGTGTTGGGGTTAATAATAATAATAATGCTATGTCTCCCTCGTCTTAAACCCACTACTCAGTTAATAGTATGTGAGCAGCTTTTGAATCATAAGCATTAAGCATGCGAATTATATTAAAGCATTTCCAATAGCTTAATGTGCCAAAAAAAATTAAAAAATTACAAATTAAAAAATGATAAAGCAACCTAGGTAAGTTCTTTCAAAAGCTTTTATTACAAAAAAAAAAAAAAAAAAAAAGTTCTTTCAAAAGCAATGCTACTTGTGCAAGTTTTACATACAAAACTTCAAAACTACGCTTAAAATTATTGATGAGGGTTTGCTTTCATGCTGTGGGAACATCATGATAGTTTTTTTAGGGGCCCTTTAACGGGCATAAGGATTTTAACAGATAAAAAAAATGGTAGGGCTAGTTGTTTGATAATCACCTTGTTAGAAGAAAACAACAAATTATACTCCTTGTGAAGGTGCACAAGGTGTGTGTACGTGTGTTGTTGATTCCCATACTCCTGTGCACCTCATACATGGTCAAAGTAAGAATTAATTAATGTAATTAAAAAAAATTAATTAAAAAAATGGGAGAGACCAGAGTCTACAACAATTTATATAGGCTACTGATGTGAGAAATATAAGCTCGTAAAATTGTTGTATTTAACAAATGAAAAAAATATTCTTAACCTATTTTTCAAAATAATTTAACTTCATTATTGAAAATGATGATTAATAAAATAAATTAATTTCTAAACTTTATCAAAAGTCATAGTTGATAAATCGAATTCTTAATTTAAACATTATTAAAAATAATTCTCATTCAACTTGTTATTAAAATGTATTGAGGTGCTCTATTTTTAAGATAGAGTTTTATAATATTTGCGGAATCCAAAATATTTCAGCGCCTTCCAACTAATGTAGGTTAAAACATTATTTAAAGTGTTTATTAAGCATCATGTTGCATAATTAGAAATCAAATTCTCACTGACCCATCGATTTGTGTGTAGCTATTTTTCTTTTTTAAAACATGTAGGCGCACATCTTTGTTTGTGTCTATGGCATTATTTAATGAATTTCCTATAACATAATGTTCTATATCCGTTATTTAAAATAGTGTTACCACATTCTCTAAAAGGACTCTGTGGCCCAATGGATAAGGCGCTGGTCTACGGAACCAGAGATTCTGGGTTCGATCCCCAGCAGAGTCGATATTTTATTAATCTTTTTTATCTTCATTAGAAAAACTAGATTTGATTATATTTTCTTTTATAATTTTACGTTCAAATCTGTCAGGATGGCCGAGTGGTCTAAGGCGCCAGACTCAAGTGCTGGTCTTCGTGAGAGGGCGTGGGTTCAAATCCCACTTCTGACAAATTTGTTGTCTTTTAACTTTCCTAATTCATTTTAAAGTCATAAAATATAATGTAATAAGAGTAAATATCTTTTTTTGTCCTCAGCAGATTTCATGATGTCCGCTTTAGTCTCTAGCAAATAAAAAGGTCAATCGTAGTCCCTAAAAAATTCAAAATGGACCCATTTTATTCCATTTAGGGACTAATATGCGTCTTCTTTGAATTTGTGAGGGATCACGATTTCAACTAAATGGGTCCATTTTGAATTTCTTAGGGATCATGATGAGCCTTTTTATTTGCTAGGGACTAAAACGGGTCATTTTAGTCCTTTTAAGGACTAATATGGGTCTTTTTTGAATTTATGAGAGACCACGATTTCAACTAAATGGGTCCATTTTGAATTTCTTAGGGATCACTATTGGCCTTTTTATTTGCTAGGGACTAAAACGGGTATCGTGAAATTTGCTGAGGACCAAAAATGGTATTTACTCTTGCAATAAATACAAATATACTAGGGGATATATTGGATAACGTGGGAATATATTGAGTATCCAATATTGATATCCTATCTTATTGAATTCTAACTCAACTCCTCCCGTAGGATACAAAAATATGTATTGGATAGTATAAAATGAGATAATAGGATAAGCTAATCATATTCTATTGACCCCCCCAAACAAGAGATAAAAGTAGGATATGATAAGTTATCCTATCATATCTTCTTTATCAGATGCTCCAAACAGACCCTTAGGGTTTATTTTTTTTGTTAAGTTATCCTGTTTGAATCCTCTCTCTTTTTAGCTAGAAAGCTTAAAAAAAGAAGACAATAGTTGTTTGATAATTACATAAAAAATTTAGTTTAAAAGCAGATATTTCAATAAAATTATCTCTATTTATTTTTATAATTCTTCATTTTTTTAAAAAGCACATAATTCAAGAAAAATAGATAAAAACTTAAAAAAAAAAAAAGCTCCTTCTAAGAGCTTTTAGCTGTTAGCTTTCTTTTTCATTATAAAAAAAGAGTTTTTCATTATAAGAACTTTTCTCAAAACCTGTTTGGCTTAACTTATGCTTATAAGTAGCTTCTAGCTTAAAAAAAGAAAATCCAAACAAGCACATTGTTAATATGGTTATTTGACCCTTTTGTCCCTTATTAATTAATTAATAATTTTTTTGCCCCTTACTCAGAACTATCTACCAATCTGCCCTTCTTTAATCGATTAAATTAAAGATTTAATCGATTAAATGGTCAAAACTGGAAAAAATGATTGACTTGAAGATTTAATCGATTAAATCTTCAAGTTAATCGATTAAATCTCCCTCTTAATTAATTTAATCGATTAAAACTTATATTTAATCGATTAAATATCTCAAATGAGCATGAAAGCATTGATACCAACTCGTAAAATGACAACTCTTAATAAAACGCAACCAGCTCTTATTAAATACAAAACACAATCAACTCCTATTATTAAATACAAACACAATCACCTCCTATTATTAAATACAAAACACAATCACCTCCTATTAAATACAAAACGCAATCACTTCCTATTAAATACAAAACGTAATCAGTATCCATTTTGGTCAAATATCCTCCATAAACAAAAGGAGTTGATTGCGAATCTTGAATTTAATGTAATACTTAGCAGAATCTTCAATCAGTTTTTCGTGTATTGGATGTTATTTGAATTTTGAATTTTGAATTTAATGTAATAGGAGTTAATTGCGATTTGTAATTAATAGAAGCTGATTGCGTTTTGTATTTAATAGGAGCTGATTGCGTTTTGTATTTAATTGGAGCTGATTGTGTTTTGTATTTAATAGGAGCCGATTGCGTTTTGTATTTAATAATAGGAGTTGATTGTGTTTTGTATTTAATAAGAGCTGATTGCGTTTTATTAAGAGTTGCTATTTTACGAGTTGGTATCAATGCTTTCACGCTCATTTGATTTATTTAATCGATTAAATATGTTTTAATCGATTAAATTAATTAAGAGGGAGATTTAATCGATTAACTTGAAGATTTAATCGATTAAATCTTCAAGTCAACAATTTTTTTCCAGTTTTGACCATTTAATCGATTAAAGAGGAGCAGATTGGTAGATAGTTCTGAGTAAGGGGCAAAATGATTATTAATTAATTAATAAGGGGCAAAAGGGTCAAAAAGCCTTGTTAATATAAATAACTTATCTACATTGAACCCAAAGTGACGTCGTTATTTTTGAAATTATAATTTATTTCAGTGTTATAATAGTCTTTCTCATTATAATTTTTCAATCTTTCAATTCAAAACGACGTCGTTTTGGGAGTGAATATAAATAATTTATCTACATTCTATCTACATTCACTGTAGAACATAACATTAAAGCCTTGGTTTTATAATATAATTTTTGGGTAAAGTATGTAAATAACTTATCTACATTTAACCCAAAGTGACGTCGTTATTTTGAAATTATAATTTATTTCAGTGTTATAATACTCTTTCTCATTATAATTTTTAATCTTTCAATTCAAAACGACGTCATTTTGAGAGTGGATATAAATAATTTATCTACATTCACTGTAGAAACATAACATTAATGCCTTGGTTTTATGATATAATTTTTGGGTAAAATATTTCTCCAGTCACAGGAGATAAGTTATCTACTGTTATCCCCAAAATTATGTCGTTTTAAATTAATAAAGAACGTTTTCATAATCTTAGAAAAATTAACGAAGAGTGTTTCGGTAAAATTCATATGATAAAAAAATAAATAAAAATATGAAAATATTTTTCATTAATTCAAAACGACGTAGTTTTGAGGGTTACTATTCAATTATTATAAATATATTTTTAATAAACTATATTTTTATTTCCCTAGAAGAAAAAACTATACTGAAACAGCTTTTTTTATAAAAAAATTATTCAATTATTATAAATATTTTATCTGCTGAAATAATCTTTTAAAAATATTTTTAATTAAAAAGGATTTTTCTTAAAAAAAGTTAAATAAATCCAAACAGCCATCAATTATAATAAGGAAAAAAATATTCTCATGATACATGAGATAAATTTTTCCCCCTACATATCCTTCGATAATTGTACATATCTTTCTTTTTATTTTTTTTTATTTTTCAGATGATAGAGCCCATAAATTTGTCTTTACGACATAAGATAATTTATCTCCTTTAAAATGAGATTAATAAAACCCTTATAATAAACTACAAATTACTGACATCTATAACAACGGAAAGAGCAAGTAAACAAACTAAATTATCTAAAGACCTAACTTAATACCTTCGGTGAAATTTGACATTATTTCTTTGGCAGTTCAGTTGGTTTGTTACCAATCTTCCAACCTTCAAACCGAGTGCTGTAAAGCTTCTAATCACTGGATATGCGTAAAATAAGTTAAAAGGATGAGAAACGAATCCTGCTCTAGTTTATGGTATGGCCAACAAAACCGAGGAAAGAGAGTGAAAGCCAGTGCTTTTCAAAGGTCAAATCAATATTTCATGTGAACAGCAATGGTCAAATTACATTATATACAAAGGGGGTAAAAAGTGTTGTTTCTTTTGCCTCCATTTTCCCCTTTTTCTTTTACTCTCATTTTTTGTTTCTTGAGGGTTGAGGCAGTTGTTTTTCATCACAAGCAGTCAGACATTCATACACCAATGCTGCAGCTTCACTGAATAATGACAGTTCTTGGTCTGCTTTCACCTCATGCCAAGTCTTGGTTTCACATACATTGGCCTTCATAAATTACGCACAACAATTGGTGCAGTCATCATGTGTGCTTAATCTCAGGTCCTGATCCAATGGAAGTGGCTTTCAGTTGCTCCAGCTTCTTCCGAAGATAAGCTTGTTTAAGTTTCTCACGATGAGCAGCTACCTGCTCCTGTCTGCGATGTTTAATTTCAGAAGCCTTTTCCCTTGCTCTATTAGCTTCTTCATGAACTTCCCTACAAATCAAAACCAATTAAAGGGACTGGATTAGCCATAGGTTCAAAATATTAATAAAGTACTTAACCCAGAAAAATCATGGCAAAAATCAAAACATAGCAAAAGCCCCCACCCCCACCACAAAAAAAAAAAAAAAAAAAAGACAAATGAATCAAAAGGACACACCGTTAGTGGCCTCCCTGACCAACTGAAAAACATAAACAGGTTATTGTACTTAATTTATTCAACATGCTCACCCTAGAACGAAGTGTTACTTAAACTCCTAGTAATGTAATACCTTAATAGATCACAACACTACATTATAATTATAATATTGTCAATTTAATATCATCAACCCAATAATTGAACCTGAACCACTGTTCCATTCAAAAACTCACCCTCACCCCTACCCGGGCCAAAATAGAAAAAAGCTCTGAAAGAGTAAACAATTTCTGCATAAGATACTATACAGGACAACATTGATATAACTACCGCCAAAAGAAAATCTCAAACCAAAGCCTGCAGAGATACCCAGCAAAAGATAGTTCTTATACCCCTGATTCCAACTGCCAAAGATTCAACAACACACTACACTCTTATAATTCTTATCACTGTTGCCAAGCAGATTTAAAACCTTTTCATAGCTATCTAGTCTAAGAACATTGTTTTTTCATAAAAATAACATGGTTCGCTAAGGGAAAAAAAGATGAATCCCTCACCTAATATTGCGCTTATGCTCAGTACTGTCAACTGTTCCAGCTGTTCGTCCAGGTCCGAAGGGTTTCAAGTTAAACAGCACAGAAGCATCATTATCAGGCTCTTCATTTTGTAGCATCACATTCTGAGTCTGAGAGACATCACCATCATGATCATCATGCTCAATGCCCTTGCGGAAAAAATCTACACAATACTTTTCTTCATCCTCTTCATCAGATAATTCTCCCTTCACTAACTTATCATACAACTTAGCCTTTCTCTCCAATGCTGCATAACTAACTGAACCATCATTAACTGCTTTCAACTCAAGTTTGTCCCTAAAAGTTGGTTCAACAACAAAGACGAATTAGCTATTATTTAAAGTAACGCGTTGATAATTATTGAAAGCAACCACAGAATTGATGAATTAAAAGGGGGGAAAAAACGGGGTAATACTTGTGAGCACGTGCATCGACACCAGAGTTCTTAGCGGAGAAGGGATCTTTGGATGTAATCTTGTTCTTAGCGCGTTGGTACTCGACATCAGGGCCTGCTAATTCCCTTGATTTCTTGGAATCTTCCTGAGATTTGTAGAGCTCGGCTTTCAATTCCAGGATCGACGATGCCCCGACGCCCGCTATGGCTCGGTGCTTCTTCGGCATTATCGACGACTCCGTTAGCCATCCCAGCGATTCCGTCACCACCCTCTTCTTCTTACTCCCCTCCTCCTCCTCCGTCATCATCCTTGGCCTTTTCCTCTCTCCGATTCTGCAATCAATTTCGATTATTAGGGTTTCTTTCTTCAATTTCGATTATTAGGGTTTCTTTCTTCAATTTCGATTATTTGGGTTTCCTTCTTCGTCCCTTTACCCCACCGGTTTGCTTCTATATGTACATTTGGGATTGGTTAAAAATTAAAATCATATTATATTGAGCGCAACCTTTTTATACAAAATAATTTAAATTAATTCAGTCCTTGAGTTCCGACTAATTATTATGTAAATCTTGCAAGGCAACCTAAAAAAAAAGAAATTGATTATTGTTTTGATGTAGTTAAAAATTGTTATACCTTAATTCTATGGCATTTTATTGGAGCACAAAAAGACTTTAAAGAAATGTTTTAAAACTCATTGGTTATTGGTTTAATCGGGAACCAACCGAATATAGTATTTATATATTAAAAGTGTAAATATATTACTTATATTAAAAATGGGTTCATTTTTTCTGCATTTACTGCTGGTAAATTATCTGCAGTAAGCCTAATACGACATCATTTTGGGACGAAAAATCATGAAATTTTTATAATTTTATTTTATTTCAGCATTATTATAATCTTCATAATTATACTTATTTAATTTTTCAATACCAAAATGACGTCGTTTTGAGAGTAAATATAGATAACTTATCTGCAGTAACTGCGAAAATATTTTTCTGATTAAAAATTCACAGGAGAAATCTATCAATAATGAGCTTTAAAAAACAAGGGGAAAGTAGAAAGATTTATATGCTCACCTCGATAATTTCTTACATATTTATAATAATTTTAAAGCTAAAGACGGGCTGAGAATAAGACTAAAATTGGCTGAAATCTAGAGATTGGCTGAAATCTCTTCCTCCTTATTCAATTCATTCTTGGGAAGAACTTTCTAATCGATTCATAGAAAAGGTTCTTTCCCATGTCTCGCATTATGGAAGTAAGGGTAGAGTTGTCCAACTTTCGCATGTTTCACGGAGAAAATCTATATGAGGTATGAGAATGTTGCAAAGAAATGATCAAGAAATGTTCCCCTTTTTTTATCCTATTTAGTGAAAGGTAGGTAACAAGTCTTGCTAAAGACTAAAAGTACAGCGCAGACTAGGAGGCAACCCAGTATTTTCTTAGATATTTGCTGTTTTGAAATTAGTTTCTTCGTTCCCATAGCAGGAACAAAGTTTTAGGGTGGTTAGTTTTCACCAATTGAACCCAACTTGGAACAGAACATCTAGCGTTTCAAATATTTGCTATTTTTTTAAAATTAATTATTGAATTTTTAAATTTTAGATTTTTGAAACCCAAACATTCAGAGAGCAGTTTTCAACAGTTGGAACAACTTTTAGAGGAGGAAGGAGTGAAGTAACATTACAGAAAGGCTAAGGACACTCAGAAAGAAATTATGAAATACCTTGGCGATTGTATGCTGAAAATCAATAAGTCTCAAGACAAGAGGAATTGGAGTATCAGTATAATCGAAAGGTGGAAGAGATGACTTACATGAAGAACGCCTCAGTGATAATACTGAAAAATGGATAATTTGTTGAATGAGATGAGGAAGTGGGAACCTAAGAAACAAGGGTGATGAAAAGTGTGGGGAACACCTTCGATAAATGTCAAGTTATTGTTCACGTCAGCCAGCCGAGAGAGAAAGATAAAGAGAAACACCTGCCAAATTAATACAAGGAGATGAAGATTGGGTGAATGGCGAAGCTTTGAGGAGGGAAATGGTTCCTTGACTACAACTAGAATAAGAAAGGAAGTAGGTTGAGAAGAGAGAGTGATGAAGGTGTGGTGTTTTGCGTAGGTGTTTGTGATAGAAAATTATGGTAAGGAGAAAGCGAAAGAAGAAGAAGAAAAAATAACCATATATAACTTAATTTAGGGGATCTAAGATGAAATTCCTAAATCTGAGGGGTTTTCCTTGATTTTGAATTTTTGCTTTTTTTTTTTTTGTAAATGAATTTTTGCTTTTAATATAAAGGAAATACAATTTTTTACCATAATTCTACATAAAAGTAACAGTTATATTGGGTGTTATAGATAAAATTTTGTTCGATAATAATGGCTGTGACACAATGTTTCATTCACTTTAATAAGGGTGTTTGGTAGAGAAGAAATTTTTTTTTACCAGGGAATTACAATTACTGAAAATATGGTCATAAAATGAGTTTTCTAAGAAAATTAAAAAAAAAAAGTTGTCTGGTAGGCCGAAATATTATCGAGAAAATTGGTTTAAGTTTCCTAAGTCTATGTTTGGTTGAGGTAAAATATTGCTGGAAAAATATGGTAAACTTACGAAAGCAACCCTTGACTAAATAATATTGCACAGTACACGAATAAGGTTAGAAGAGAGTCATTTTCGTCATCTACTTCGTGCTCCTTTTTTCATTTTTCCGGTAATCTCAAAATACCACCTTCAAAGTGATATTCTTAAACAGTGATTTTCATCACAATTTTCAAATAAATAAGAAATTGTGGGCAAATTAGTTTACTGGGTGAATTTTTTAAAAACTTGTACCAAACATGAATAACTTGAAATACCATTCTAAAATATCTCGGTATCTTGAGAAAAAACTCATACCAAACCTAGGGGCGTTTGGTAGAGGAGAATTTTTTTTTTTACTCGGGAATCACGATTACTGGGAATAAAGTTCGAATATCTGTTTCCTGGTAATGTTATGAAAAAGTTGTTTGGTAGGCGAAAAATATTATTGGAAATTTTAGTTAATTTTGATGAGGTGTTGTTTGGTTGATGATAAAATATTGGTGGGAATATGGGAGAGTTTTGCGAAAATGACCTCATAACTTACTTATGTGGACACGATTTAGAAACAAAAATCACCATTGCGCGAAAATGAGTATTTCTTCTGGGCGAACTCTTCGACCATTGTATTAGCATTCGTCTTGAATATTCATAGATCGTGATTTATGTATTGGACTTCATCCTCCTGGTACGTTTGTTGTGCGTTCCCATATCCCCATTTTTTGGTGTCTCTTTCGTTTGCAACGTTCTTTCATCAATATGGAGTTACTGTGTCTTACAATGTCATTTTTTATTTTTCCAGTGGAATAAAAAAATCATATCCAAACAAGTTTCATTTTCACTCCGAAGCGCTTCATTACGGTTGGAAAGGTCAAAAGTTGCTGAGGTTTGTTTTTATTTTTTGTGGATTAATAGCCCTAAAAGAAGATAGGGGTGCTTGGTACTTCCGAATGCAGGGCTTCGTTATATCAGTGTATTCCATTCGTAAACTGCCAGCATGTTTATACAAACGATTTTTTTGATGTTGGATTGTTGTTTGAAAATTTTAACGATTAGGTGTGAGTAAGCTTTTGGCATAAATGAGATTTTTTTACCATGTGCTTTTTGGATATATTTTCTGACCTGTGTACATTGTGATGAAGCATCAAGTAACATAGAAGTCCTTCAATCATTGAGAAAGCATGGGTGGAGATGACAATGCCAAACATTGGTGTCAAAGTGAAAATTTCGGCCATTCTGCAACTTCATCCACATTGAAGTTCAAGACGTGCGACTGTGGAGTGACAACGGTGTTGCGAAAGTCACGAACAAACGCGAATCCAGAAAGGATGTTCTTCGGATGCCCCAATTACAGAACAAGGGAGGCGTGTAAATTCTTTCAGTGGCTAGATGAACCCACTTGCTTTAACTGCATCCAAAAGGATAGTTTGTTGAAAAATCTGCTGGTTTTGCTCAAACTATTGGTGGTGTCGGTGATTGTACTTATTATACTACTTGGGATTGTATTATATAATATGTAAAAGTGTTGATGATGTTGTAAGTTAATGGTATGCTTAATTTTGTGCATTACGAAGTTGTAATGCAATTTATATTTGTAATGTTGTTGAATCTTTTGATGTGTACTATGTATAGTGGTTTATGTGTATGTGTCGTCTTATTTGGCATATATAGTGGTTTCCATTTCATATTGTTGTCAAATGGATGCTTGTAAGCCTCTTATTTGTTTGATCTAGCGACAATCTACAAGACCATGCAATATTTTTTTTGTAAAACTTATTTTCTCTATATGCTTGTAAGTGTTGTGGGTTTCATATATCAATTAACATGCATAGTAGGTCCCAGACAGCAAGTCCATACCATAACTTGTCTTTTGTTGAACTTTCTGTTGGGTAAGTTGACCATGTAGTCTGATGTGGATGTGCATATGTTATCTACATTTTACATGATGTTCAAAGTTGTTCCTCTATTCTGACCATTTTGGATTTGTTTCCAGTGCAATTGGGAGAATTGAGGGACTTGATCGCATCTTTGTAGGTTGGGCTAAAATCCTTTGTTTGTAACATTCGGAGGTAAGTCTTGTTGGTCTTTGCCCTTCTGTTACCTTTTCTTATTAAATAAACATAAATGATTTTTTTATTTATTGTTATGCTTATTGCTTAGTAAAAGGCATTGACTGAACATATTTGAACTTGGAGGTTATACCTTGGGCAATAAATTGGCCAAGAGCTAGCATCGAAGTTTAGGTTGAGCATAACAAGTCTTGTTGTTACCCGATTCCAAAATTCCTTAGAAAATATATTATAGTATAGAGCATGCTATTGTGAAGAAGCAACAGCTTTAGTGAGAGAGTGCTCATCTGTGGCTAGACTCAATGACATCTGTTTTTGCAGTTAAATTCTTTCTGTGCATAGTTCTATGGCTCTTTAACTTTCTACCTCCTTGTCAAGGTTTTATTTCATTCTATTTGTAAATTTTATTTGGGGTATATACTCTGTCAAGGTAGGGTGCTTATTATATATGTGTCTTAAAAAAAAACTTTGCTTTCTGCCTTGCTGTTTCTAACCACATCATATATTGGTGCACATGAAATTGGTTCACGGTCCAAGTCAAAAATAAACTTTGATTTTGACTTGTGGGTGTCTTTTGCCACATTTAATAGACTAATATAATTTTATAGTTATGACTGTTTGTTCTTTCTCTTTGCAAAGTTTCTTTTCTATTTTCTCTTTATTTACTCCCTTTTTTTCTTTTCCTTTTCAATGTGAATTATCCATGCTTTAACTGAAGCTTGGATTTTTCAGGTTATATTAGTAGGGAAAAAAGAAACAGTATCTTTGGCTTTGCAAAGAGCAGAGATATTTCGCACTGAGCTCCTTAAACGTGGTGTTCTGTTAGTTCCTGTCATCTGGGGAGAAGGTAGGGAAACAAAATTTGAGAAGAAAGGTTTTGGTCTTCGGCCAAAGGCTGTTGAAACTCTTCCATCCATTGGAGTAAGACTTATAACCATATGCCTTAATGATTCCTTTTCTATCTATCGATGAGCATTTGTTTCTTTGATGAGAAGACACTAACCCATAAAACTTTGCATTTAAGATTTTGAGAAGCGAACAGAGTCTGTAACTGCAAAATTGAAGTTGCAAGCTGAAATTAGATTCAAGGCTGAGGTTGTATCACCGGCAGAATGGGAACGGTAATATGCTCTGATATGTTGTCTATATTTTAATCTATTTCTTCATTAAATAAGGCGAGAATTATCATCAACATAGATAGTTAAGGGTGGGTTAATGTCATCTAAGAAGTGCAGGATAGAGGGAGTGACAGAGGAGTTGCTAATAGTTGCATGCTTATATGTGCTAACTTAACTAGGTGGATAAGAGATCAGAAGAAGTTTGAAGGAGTTTCATTTGGTGAAGAGGTGTACATAATACTACGCTTAGATGGGCGGGTTCGAAGATCAGGGAAAATAAGTGCCATTTTCAGCGCAATCTTGTTTTACTTTTCTTCCCAGTGATGTAGAATTGTCATTTATTAGCTTGCTGCATGTCAATGAAAACAAAAGCACAAGGCCAAAGGAATCAAATTTTTAGAAAAACCAATTCATCATTTGGCATGCATTTCTTCATGTAATGACTTGTTTGCAAAGCTTGGTGATCGTGCAGCATCTGATGTACTTTGAATTCATTTTAAATCTTAGTCGTCAGCTATAGGTGTATTTTTCATTTTACTAGCTAGAATTGCATTAAGGGATTTTATCATTCAACATTACTTCTCAACTATAAACTATCGACAAAGCAGTTTGATATAAAGGGAATTTTTTTTCTCCCTTGATTGCAATATTGTTTCTCATACTCTGCCATTATCAGTACAACACTTGTAAATGCTACTGTGTTTGCAGGGTATGCCTGACTAGCAGCAAATTGTGAAGGAGCTGCTGCCAATGGAAGATTTGTTAAGCAAGCTAGAAAGATGAGAAGTAAACATTATACTTCCATTCATCCATGATCAGTACAGACTACTGTTGGGTGGTTTGCTGATGGTGGAAAAATATAAGTTCTGATAGGGGACGTTCTTCTGTTCTTGCAGAACACAGATTCGTCCCTCAGTTCCAACCCAAGTGCGCAAGTGCACGCATCAAGTAATCAATGGAGTATTAATGCCCAAATTATCGTTCCCATGAGGATAGAGTGCTAATTATTATTTTATCACTGTTTATAAAGAGTGAAAATGAGAAGAAAAGTTAGTAAATGAACTGTCTGGTCAAACGTTCCCTACTGTCTTGACAATGTTCCTCAGGAACAGTAGGTTCAACCTGATGGCAAACAGTTGCTCGTTGCGTTATGTATGTGATCTTTCCTGTTTAGAAGAAGGTGAGATAACAATTATTGGAGTTTTTATAAGTACTAAATAAAATAAAATAAAATAAAATTACTAAAACAGAAATAACTATAATCAAGAGACAACAGGGTGGTGGTTAAAATAGTTTAACAGAAGGAACAGATTCACTGCTGCACTCTTAAAGGGGCTGTTTTCTCTGCTCAAGACTTAGCACCTTTTGGCTTTGTTCCAGTTTCTTTGCCTGCCAACTCTGATTCCTTAGCTCATGGTCTAGATGGCTCACAAGTTTCCATATTCCTATGGCTTCCTTGACTCCAACAGGTACTTAGTTCAGAACCTTAAAATGGACGAGTTGACCCCTTATTCCTAAGGTGACCAGTAGCGTTTTTGCCATGACATCTACCTTCCCCCAATGGCTAAGCTGTCTGAAATCCCTTCTTATGGAAATTCCTTTCTCAGTATGTACCCAATTTCCATTGGCGCAAAATGAATATAGCTTACTTAGCCAAAGAAATACAAAAAGCTTCGATCAAGAGTTTTGAAAACAGTTCTTTAAGAGTTTCACAGTTTACCCGTTCCACAGATAGTTCAGCTCATGGCTGATAGTTTAAACATAATTATTCTCAACTGAGATCACAAAGACCCGAGATTCAGTCAAGAGATAACGATTGGAACGAAGAGAAAAACACTTATATTAATTTAAAAGACAGATTACAAAAAGAAACAAAAAATGGAGAAAGATGGGTATTTGCTCGTGAGGAGTCTTGATGGTTGTTTACAGAGAAGGGAAGAGGGGTTGTCATTTAACTATAGTTACAACCGAAAATTAAACTAAGTTACTAATTACTACTAAGTGATCTCTTCCTTTCGGACTGCAAACCCTCCAGGATTCGATGATGTTTTTGTGTGAGGGAGGTCCTATTTATAGCTGGAAGAGGAATTGCAAGACTGTAATTCCTTTGGAGCTAGTTGCTTGAATGAGGGGACGAAACTGTGGCAGCAGAGTGCGAAGCTTGCATGAATTGCTGAATGGAACAGGATTTGGTGATGATTAGTCGTATTTTGCAGGTCTTCCCATGTTTTGCTTCTGTTTTCAGCCAATGAGAACTCTTGATTCTCTGCTCTTCACGTTTCCAGCTGCTCAGTTGGTGCACCGCCTTGCTTTTTAGAAGTCTTTAACTCTACGTTACCTGCAAAGTGTACAGAAGCATTAAATGAATGGAGCAAGTGCATTAAATGCATCTCAGTCCGTTCCCCTTTTAATATATTTTAAAGGAATACGTTACCATCCGTTCACCCACTGTGTTTTTGTCACAAATGTGTAAAACAAGTGATTTTCATGCTGAAGTTGCTCATCAGATGAGGGAACGCATGGTATTTTGTCATCAAAATGGGCTTAGATGGGAACGAATTTACGTCCCATCAACTACAGACAAGTGAATGGAAGAATTTTTAAAGGAAAGAAGATTAACTTGGTCGGAGAAGTTATGGCTTTGTTTACAAAGCTGTATTGGCAGATGGGAGTCTCATGCTGAAGATAGCTATGCAGGCTACAAAGGGCATTGAGTACCTTCACAAGGAACTATTGCCTCCAATTGTTCATAAGGATCTCAATAGTTCAAACATTCTTTTGGATTCAGAGTGGGGGGCTAGAATTTCAGACTAATGACTTCTTACTTCAAGTGACAAAGATCTTATTGGGGACTTGGAAAGTGATGTTTACAACTTCGGGATTGTATTACTTGATATTCTAAGTGGAAGGAAGGCTTATGACAAAGATTTTACACTCCCAAACGTTGTTGAGTGGGCAGTGCCTTTGATCAAACAAGGGCAGTGACTTTGATCAAGCAAGGGAGTTGATGTATCACACGCATATATGGATAGAGGAGCTTGCAACCACTTTTTCTTTCAGATATATTTTTTCTGTAACTCAAATATTTGAAAATAAAAAATGACAACCATATAAGGTTGAATTTTATTGATGTGCAGTTTCTCTTTGTTGAACTATTTACTCATTTCATATTCCCAGATCCCATCCATCTTTTTCATTCCTTTTCCAATAAAAAATTACATGGGTGATTATTTGTCTAGTTTCGTGAAGAAATAATCAGTCACTAGACAAGTTTCTATGACATAATCAATGCAAGCATCAGTAACTTAATGGAGCGAAGTGCACAGCTTCGTGCCAAAAACTGACCATTATGCATGTATTGATGACAGATAGAGGTTGCTAGGAAAGGGTCGAAAATAAATAACCAGGTTAATGTAATTTTTTGCAAGCAAACATTTAACAAGATCAATGTATCACACGCATAAAGACATTACATCAAATTGTTTCTATTACATTGTTGATCATTTGAGATATACTGGCGCAATCAGGACTAATTTTATAGCTACAACACAACATGCCAATCCATAAAGTTGGTGGTTTCCCATTACATTGTTAATCATTATGAATATCATAATGTGCCTTTGCTGTGACATAATCATATGGCAATCCTATCACTTGTTGTTAATGAAACTTTAGGGAAGCAAGATACAACCCCTTCTATTCTTCATCCCCAAAGCTGCATTTAAACCACCATCCATCACCTGCAAACCACCAAATTTTGCATTATCATATGCAAACCAACATTAGGGAATGTGACTAATTTCTTTCCTTCCACTTGCTGCATTATCCATCATCTGCAATCTGATAAACCACAATGCAACTCATTAGCACTATTTTTTTTTTAAAAAAAAGTTGCACTCATCCATCTTAATGTTTAAGGAATTTCCTTGTAAACCACCAACTGAATATCATATGAAGAAGATGTCTGAACAAGTGGATATTCGTTGCGAACAGAGTGACATAGTCATAACCTATAACATAATTCAGCATATTAATAAATGCATGGCGATATACATCCATTTGTTCCATAACTTAGGACAGTTTAAGATCCATAATATACATAAACATTAACCTCATATGAGTACAATCATCCATACATGGACAGAGCTTACAACATGGATACGAGCTAACAAAATATACATGAAGATTTACATCATATGAGTACAATCATCCATATATGGACACAGTTAACAACATGGCTTGTTGCTTACAAATTTTTTTAACATCAGATCATGTTAAAAGGATATACAAGACATCATCAAAAAATTCATCCAAGGTTACCATAACGAGCCATATATATCAATTGGCTTCCAAAAAGATTGGTGGTCATGCAGTATTAATGAATTCCCAACAAAGAAGCCACCATTACCTCTCTATCTTCTTGTGAACTTGCCATGAAAATATCAGTTATGCTACTGTCCCTACCCATTATCATAGCTATGTGAACCCTTGAGGCAGTGGCACACTCAACCCTTCAATCTTTTTCAATTCTTCAAGAATTGATTTCCTTTTGTCTCGATCCTCAGCTTGATATTTAAAACAAGGAACCAACTTACTGATATTCTCATTACTGTTTTTGTAATTCTGGTTTAGATCCTTCATAGCATCAGCAACCAAAACCACCAATTCTTCATCAGATCTGCCGCGTTTCTTACCTTTTTTAGCAACAAAGGTTGACACAGGGGACTGTGATGGTGCATCTTGGGTGGCACTGTCCACAACTGTCATCTCATAATGAGATGTTTGCATTGTGTCACCTAACCACTCAAAGATGTAATCTGCTCCAATCCCACTCTCAGCAGCAGCAACCACTTCTTTCTCAATTTCATCCACAGCATCTTGTGGCCCCTCTACATCATTCCTAGTTGCACCGTCTTTCCCAAATATTAGTCCTAATTGATCGAAGTGAGGGAATGGCTTCATGTAAAGGCCTCTAGCATTTGGGTGGATCTGAAAAATATTTACACATTTCATATTGTATAAACCAATTCAAAGATACGAATAAAATGAAATGAAAGAATTGAATACATATCTTTAACATTTTCACCTTACCTTAACCCATTCATTGTAAATTTCCTTTTCAACAGCTATCATTTTGTCTTTATCGTTCCAACCGAAGCCACTGCCTCTAACTGATCCAATCATTTCACATATGGCATTGTAGTGCCTCTTTAACAGTTTAATTCTTGATGTGATATGAGGAGTACCTTTCAAAGTACATACAGGTATCCTGTAACCCATCATCTTCTCTAATTGAGTTGCAAATCCAGGCCTGAAACCATTATCTCCTTTCCACAGTTCATCGATTTCAAGCAGACATTCAACTAGTATTTTGTCCTCTTCCCCTGACCAAGTATGGTTGACTCTTTTCCTTGATGGTTGATTATTTTCAGCCATTTGCAATGCTAAATGGCTGTATCTGGATATGTAATAGGGAAAAATTGTAAAACGTATTAACCTGCATAGTGATTATTAATACATTGTAAAACGAAAAATTGTCATTGTCATATAATCCAAACTAAAACTACATTAAAAAAATAAACATTGCAACTATTACATAGTTAAACGAAAATGATTATTGTCATTTAATCCAAAATAGGACAATATAAAATTATAAACATTACAACTATCACAACTATCACAACATAAACACCCGAATCAAACACGTTTCCTCCACATGTTAAACATCTGAGTGGCCATATTATCCCTCCAAACTGTCCATGTAGTAGAGGCCTCTACGTGAGTTATCAACTCAGTGTCTTCAAAATCATCTTGAGCTTCTTGCGTGTCCACAACATTGACTTCGAAAGGATTAAATGCCATTTCTCTTCTTATATGGTTATGAATTAAGCAACAAGCGGTTATAATCCTGCATTGTGTTTTAACAGGGTAATATGAATTTGATCTTGGAATGGCCCAACGCCCCTTCAGCATCCCAAAACAACGCTCTATGACGTTCCTAACATAAGAGTGTTTCATGTTAAAAAATTCCTTTGGTGATGTTGGTTGTTCTCCATATCGCCACTCAGAAAGATGATATCTTTGGCCTCTATAGGGTGTAAGAAATCATTCCCCATTCATGTAATCGGCGTCATACAAATAATAGAACCCTAATAAAATGATTTCCAACACTTCAGACACAATTTAATAAACTTTATATGTACACTATGTGTAAATTAGGAACACATTAATATATCTCAAATACCTTTTGGCACCCTTAAACCATTCGTACTAGATATGACATCTCTAAGGACCCTTGAATCTGCAGCTGATCCTTCCCATCCAGGAAATACATAAATAAATTAACAATCTTGAGAACAAACTCTTAATACATTGGTTGCTATTTCACCCTTCCTAGTCCGATATCTAGGCTTATCAGCTTGTAGGGCATTTATCTTGATGTGTGTCCCGTCTAGAGCTCCTAGATAATTCTATAATTCAAAACAAAATTAATAATAATGAAGAGACAAAAATATTATTATTGTCTTGTCATGATTACGAAATGAACATAATGTACACTTCTATGTTACCTTGAACCCTTTCCATTTGTCATCAGTTGAAATTTCAGGGATCGGCTCAGGTCGTTTAAGTAAAACAATATGACATCTTAAAACAGCCTGCAAAACCTTTGTGAATTGTCTACTTATGGTTTCACCAGACCTCATGAATTGCCTTTTAATTATCCTTTTCTTAACATCATGGGCTAAAATATGAAGGAATATGGCAACAAGCTCTTCTACCCCCATGTTCTTAGTCGGTTGAAGCATCCCAATTATCTTCAGTAACTCACAATTTATAAAAGCACCTCCTGTCCATCCTTGTATTCTCTATACAAGCAGTGTCACTAATATAAACTATTCTATGGAAAATGACTTCCCTTATCTTAGACCTACTATGAAAATCCCATTTAACTCTCTTCCTACTAATTCTCCTTTTTTTCAAACTTGTTTAATAGCAGAGCACATACACCCATCAAGAACAAAGTAATTCGATTCAAACACTCCAAATGAGTAATGAGTACCACTATTACAATGCACTCCGTTTCTGCATTCATCGCTATAATCTAACACAAAAATGATAAATTAGGAAATTCTTATCATTTACTAAATTAATCCATGCTACAATGTACAATTAACAACACTGAAATATACACAACATATAAAATATAATAGCACCGTGAATCAAAAAAAAAAACTCAACAAACAGATCAAAATAAGGAACATTAAAAATGAGTAAATCTCCAACAGATGCAATACCCACATTTTTTTCCAACATATGATGAGTGAGTAAACTACATATAAGGGTTAATCCATTAATTAAGGTCACCAACATAGGACTAAGGTTACCATAAAATACCTTTGCTAATACACAAGTCAAGCTTCAAACATGCAATAATTAACTTCAATTTGTAATAATCATAAACACTCTGAATCCATATAAACTTTAAATAAAAAAAAGGATGGGGGAACACCAATGGCATCGACCATTGTTTTGGAACCAGTGGGGATGGATTGCGCAGCCAACAAAACAAAAGACAAGACAATGACTTTGAATCATTATTCTACAATGACATACAGGTACGAAGCTAATGTTCTACACACAAAAAAATGCAATGCATGCCCAACACTCATACCTAGTACATAAATTAAATATAGATCAACAAAAAAAAGTAATAAATTACTTTATAAAAAAAATGAAACAAAAATGTTAATAAAATAAAATAAGGTCACCAATATCACACAATAGCTAAACCCCCTTCATTTCAGATTTGTACAAATTACACTTCGAATAGAGGAGACAAACAGTGAGAAAATGAGGTGAAAGGAAAGATTGACTTCAACATGGTTGTTGCAACTGAGAGCGTTGGGTTGGGTGAAGGAGCCAAAGTACGCTCAAAATAACCATCAACCGAGAGCACAAAATACGAAAGTTTTGCAAATAAGGTTCGAAAACAAAAATAACCCCACATAAATCACAAACACAAACAATGGAGACAGCTCGTGGTGCCTCAGACAAGAAAACTCACGGGATATCAGCTTGTGCCCTTCGACGAAAATGGCTTCCGATTTTGAATGAGGTGAGTAGAAGTGCTTTTTTCAACAACATTGCTCACAGTAGAAGATCCATGACTTTTTCTGATGAAGAAAGAGAGACCAGTTATGAAGACCACCTATCACAAACGAAGGGTACAACTGTCCCAAAATATTAGACAACATTTTCTTAGATCTGGTATTTCACAAATACCACCCCTTTAGTCATAAGAGCAATTCCAAGACAAACTGGATACCCGAGCAACTCATATCAAAAACTCCTACCAAATGTGGTCAAGTACGAAACTCATTTTAATTTTCCTGGTATGTTTACAAACATTCCTCTGCCAAACAGGCCCTAAAGAAATACAATTTTACCGTAATTCTAGATTAAAGTAACAGTTATATTTCATTCACTTTTAAAACAAATTTACTCAATGAATATGTTTTTATTTAAGTCAAAGGTGATTGATTTTCCGAAGCTATTTCGTTCCTTTTTATGCTTGGGCTCACAACTGCGATAATGGCTTTGATGCTCAAACCCCTCGAGTTCACCATGTTTTGGTCTTATATTACATATAGATTTAAAAGAAAAAAATAGTATAATATAGATTCATTCTTTTTATTCTTATACTCATTATATATAAATTTTTTTTTTAAAAAAAATGGAATCTATTGACCCGTTATTATAAATTCCTCTAATAATTATGTTTTACTCAGCTATCGCTTCTAAGCATGAACGTGAACATTGAGATGTCTCTTACCATAAAGACAAATTTGCAAATGCTGTTTCTTTTCTTGTTTTCTTGATAGACTCAGTGTCACATGCGCAGAGCACGATAGCGCTAAGTCATATGATCGAGGTTTGTTTTAGTGGTCCTGTACACATGGTCCCATTTTTGTAAAAGACAAGAGAGTGAGAGAAAATTTGTAAAGAAGTAAGAGATTTAGAGGAAAGCACATCTTTCCAAAAATTGGAAAGGGATCACCCAAAAATATAAAAGGAAACTTTAAAAAATCCCGAAATATGATCACATAACCTGTCAGTTTGTTTGTACTATTAAAAATTTGGTACACACTTCAAGATAATAAATAAAAACAAAAACACGCAAAACTTGGGCTAAGTTAGAGAGGGGGGATATTTTGATTACTAAAAGTGTCCACTACCACCTTACTATTTATCAAATCACCATTGGATCAAAGAGAGAGAATGTTAAAAAATTTTTGAAGAGAGAGAAAATGTTAATCCAACGGTGATTAGATAGGTAGTAAGGTGGTAGTGAAAACTTTTGGTAGTCAAAATATCCTCCCTCTAAGTTAGATTACTATTTTTAAAAATGGAAAATATTACACTCCTTTTACATGAGGTAACTTATCTCATTTTCTCTTACTTCGATTTTCGCACCCCATTTTTTTTTTCTTTTTCTTTTTTCTTGTAATGGTGGGACCCACTCATTTTCTCTCTACCACTATGGAAGGAGATTAATAAAACCCTTTAAAAATAGTGTTTTAGTTTAAAAAAAAAATTCGTTTAATAAGATTTGTTTTATAAAAAAAGTTTTAAAAATTGTAACTATATTTTTATTTTTAGAATCAAATTTAGATAATATATTTGAGTTTTTTTTTATTTTTTGTTTTGATTTTTAATTTCTAAAACAAAAAAAATAGAAAATAACTATTTTTTTTTAACTATTCTATAAAATAATTTTAAGAACAAAAAAATCATAACACAGTCAAACACGTCCCAATTGTTCTATCTTTTAAACAAATAATGGGTAATTCTTTTTAAACAAAATAATGGGTAATAAATAAAGAGATTAATATTTTTCAGATAAACTTATTTTCCACAACTTAAAATAGAATTGTTTTGAGATTTATAATAAAAAATAAATGGTATTTTAGTAAAAATATATTATAAAAGAAAAGTAATTTTTTTTTTAAAATACTATATTTTTTATTCTAAATCTCAAACGATATTATTTTGAGATTATCAATGATAATTTTATTTATTATTTTTATAGAAAAAGCACTTTTCTCACAAATGAAATCAAAAGGTATGTACCAAAAAAAAAAAATCAAAAGGTTACTGTGTATCCAAAAAAATAATCAAAGGTTACTTACTAAAATAAAATAAGGAATTAAATACTAGAGTCATCCAAAATGAATTTAGGACAAGTTTAAAAAGGTAAAATTACTTTCGCAATTTCACCAAAAAAGGAGCATAGATATCAATAATTAAAAAGAAAAACATTATTCATAGAAAAATATTATATGAAAAATTTGTTGCAGAAATATTTTCTAACCGTAATTGAGATGTTAGAAAACATTATTCACGCCAGTAATTAGTAAATTAAAATTCACGAGTCCAATACTATTTAATATTTACCAAGCAGCAACAAATTTATTTTCCCAAAAATTGTTTATTTATACTTACGGAGGAGAAAATATCTCTCGTATCATATAAAATAATTTCTTTGAAGTCACAGACACAAAATATGTGAATCTCACATATTTTTGAAAAAAACCAATTCAAGGTACTTCTTTTGACGAGCGTATAGAAGATATTTTTTTCTTATGTAACATGAAAAAGTATATTCTATTTATCGAACAATGATAATAATTAAAGAGCTTTACTTTTTTTATGTTATAAGAAAAAAATTATTTTACGTTGTGAGATAAATTGAGTGAAGTTCACCAATGTTTTTAAAAAGAAAAAAAGAAAGAAATATATCTTTTTACGTGTGAGTGTAACATAAGAGATAAATCTTATGTATCATAAGAGTATAATTTTTCATAATTAAAAGGACATAAATCTAGAAGAAGTATAGATTATTGTTTTTCATATTATATTTATAAAAGTATATGTAATTTTTTTTTCCTTTTAAATGACTTCACATAATTTCGTACACTTTTATATTGGAGATAAAATTAAGTGGAATAATCCGTTGCATAAAACATTTGTATATATTGAATCTTGTGTTTATACTTTATACCAAGTGTACAAAAGAGTCTTATCGTTCCTATTATCGCACTTCACAGTTTAGTAGCACTCACAGTGAATGGCTTCTGCAGCTGAGCATGAACATCATCACCACCACCATGATGACGAGCCTGAACATGATCATCATCATCACCACCACGAAGATGGAGATGCAGGTTCAAAATCTTGGGTAGGTTCAGATGGGAAGGTGTACCACAGCCACGATGGTCTAGCACCGCATTCTCACGAACCCATATACTCACCAGGTTACTTCAGGAGAAGAGCTCAACCCCTTCTCAACAGGGATTTCAATGAAAGAGCTTTCACTGTTGGTATTGGTGGACCAGTGGGTACTGGGTCTGTATCTTCTCTTTTCCCTTCCTTATTTTTGTACCTTGCTTCAAATTGTGTATTTTATCAACATATAATTGATCATACATCTCCTTTGTCTATAAATCATTAAATTACTTCACACTAATTTATTATATAATTTTTTATCTTTTTTATGTTTCAGAAAATTTTATGGCAAGCTCAAATTTAATTAATTAGCTTTGCCAAAACTTATAATTTGAGGTTTATTTTTTCAAATTATTATAGTAAAGTGGACGTTGATATTTTATATTGTAGATGCTCTTCTTGTTAAGGATAGTCCTGTGATTCTTTTTTATCCACATTGTAGTTTTGTTGGGTACTTTGGGTTTAACTTCCATATCAATTAATTCCTATTCAAATATAATGATGCATGGAAAACGATGGGTAAAGATTTTCTGTCTGTGCTCTCTTAGATTTTCACTTGTCTCCCTGAAATTTCATTGTATTCAATGTGTGTAACGGATTTTGATGGGTCATGGTTACAACATGCAGGAAAACAGCTTTAATGTTGGCCCTTTGTGAATATTTGCGGGATAAGTACAGTCTCGCAGCTGTAAGTGTCATTATAAAGCTTAATTCTTTTTCTCTCTAAATATTGTATTTTTCAATGTTGAGATCATGAATGATTTAAGGATTATGTTCTCTTCCAATTCTAGGTTTATAAACTGGTTGTTTTTGGATATAGAATCACCACAAAAATAGTATCAATGTTGAATTTTGGGTTTTGAGATAACCATTAAGTTCTGTTTTTCATGTTCTTATGGAAGACTTGACAACATATGGATCTTCTAGAACGTAGGATGCAATGGTTCAGAAAAGTTTGTTGACATTTATTCAGGGTAATTAGAAATTAATCTACCTTGGGAATCAGATTTTTTACCACAGTTTAGTCATGCTGCAACCTGTTGAAGTGGTTGCTGAATTTTGTTCCATGCCTACATACACCATTAAATTGAAGTGGATGTTGGCATTCAGGTGGTCTTTTTCACTGTCGCCAACTTATGGAGGTTAGAGTTTTGCAGAGAGTTCATTTAAAAGAACTTTGTTTATTTTCTGTATGCACCTTAGATTTTAAAAAGTTATCCTTAAACAATTATGAGAACAAGACATTGTACCAAAGAACAACAAAGAGACAGTGAATGAACCCTATTTTCAATTTAACAGAAAACAGTTTCACGATCCCAAATGGAGACTTCACAGAAACAAACTATTGTATTTCATTCAAGAACAACTTCAACTGTTACACTGAAAGACAGATTACGCTAACAGAATTAACAATTGAAATGGACTAACAGGTTCCCTTACTCCCCTGTTACACCTAGCTACTGAGACACCTTGCCTCAATGGCCACCCAATCCCAAAATAACAGAATACTTGCCTACCCCTACTCCACAAATCCCCCCTCTTTTTATCCCCTCCTCTAAGAATATTCTAGAAGATTTTCCTAGAAAACTAACTAATTCACTCCCCACTTTCAGGCCCATCAGACGGTAAAACTGATTGCTTTTTTAAAACTTTTAGAGCTATGTATCACTTCTTAAGAATATCTTTTCCAAGCTTTGATTCTATGCTGCACTTTCCTTCTGGCTGTGATTGTTTATGGTTGGATTCCAAAATTTCTTAATATATTCCAGTTTAAAGGATGAATATAAGGTTACTAGCAGTCCAAATATGTTCCAGGGTGTGAATAATGGACATATTTATACACTAGAAAAGAAAGACTGCAACTATTTTGGTCCTAACTTCATTTGTGCACATTTTTGAATTGATGAAATGTGTTTATTTCAGGTGACAAATGATATATTCACTAAAGAAGATGGTGAGTTCTTGGTGAAACACAATGCACTTCCAGAGGAAAGGATACGTGCTGTAGAAACTGGGGGCTGTCCGCATGCTGCAATTCGGGAGGACATCAGTATTAATCTTGGGCCGCTGGAGGAGCTTTCAAACTTGTTCAAAGCAGACATACTTCTTTGTGAATCTGGGGGAGGTATTTTTACTTAAATAATTAGTGTCTGTTTCAAATTGAGTTAAAATCTGAAGCAAAATCGCTTATAATATTTTATTACACTTAAATATGTCCTCACTTTTAAAATTAAGTTTGGTTCTAAAAACTTTGGATATTCACTAGAGTTTCTTCTGCAGATAACCTGGCCGCCAATTTCAGCAGGGAACTGGCTGACTATATCATTTACATAATAGATGTATCCGGTGGTGATAAAATTCCTCGAAAAGGTGGTCCTGGAATCACACAAGCTGATCTCCTTGTACGTGCTATATGCATAGTTGTGACACTGTGGCTCTCATAAATTCATCAATGCAATTCTTGGCATGTGATTTTTAAATATGAGTCTGGAACTCATTGGACTTAATTCCAGGTGATAAACAAGACTGATCTTGCACAAGCAGTTGGGGCTGACTTGGCAGTCATGCAGCGGGATGCTCTTCGCATGAGAGATGGGGGGCCATTTGTCTTTGCGCAGGTTAGTTAAGTACATTGTTTATTGGGTTAGTAGTGTTTTTATATTATGGTCTATTACACATAAACCCCATGGTATTCTCTAGCTTCAGTTTTTCACTTAGACCTGCTGTCCTTATTTTTTCCTATGCTTGCAACCTTTGTGGCATTAAATATATCCAGCAGTTAATATCCCCCTAACAATACTGTCTGGTCATCTTTAACCCTTAACCACATGTTTCCTTTACAGAAAACAAAACAAGAGTCTCTACTAACTTATCTGCTAGTTAATGATTGCTTAAAATATACAGATTCAGAAATATACTCATCTATGCATCTTGTAGAATTATACTATTTGAGAGTTGACCTGCACTAGCAAATTCAAAAGCTCATATATGCATCTTGTAGAAATATACTCATCTATAGGCATTATAAATCCCAACAAAGACTACAAAAATAGGCTGTCTGATAGTTCACCTAACAGCTGAGTAGCTAGCCTAAGCATATTGTCCATCAAACACTAGCATGTTGGATTTAATTTGGTTGGTAGATATCAGGTTTGTAGCTTTATCTCTGAATCAATTTCATTCTTTTTTAGCTCTGTATTAACTTTTGAGTATAAAAGAATTGGTACAAGTAATAAATTTGAAAGAGAAGTATCAACTTCCAAGAAAAAATGAATGCCTTCTTTCCCATGTTATTTTTCAAGTTACTGAGCTTGCTTGTAGGTTCTGGAAGTTTATCACACTTAAGCGAATGATTTAAAATAAAATAAAGACAACACATGCTTTTGTCAGTAGTTAGCAAGAAGGAACCATATGTACCAAGTAAATGCCTAACCTTAAAATCATGTATAGGAGTATAACCAATAAACACCTCACCTTTTTGACTTTGTCTTTGGATTTGGATTGCATTTTTCCCTTGTTTAAACAACTGAGTTGTTCGCTAACCATTGATATTGATCCACCCTCAGATTTTTCATCAGATGGTAAATTGATTGAGCTATGTGTTGTGTCGTAAAATCTTAGATTTGTTTTATGAGTCGGAAATAAGCAGGCAAGGGTGTGAGTATTTTTTAACTGAAACTTGGGGTATACCATAGAAGGTGTGTGTAATTCGCCCATATATTGTGAACTTCAAAACAGTGTACAATTTCTGAAATACTTGGATCAAATCCATTACAAATATAATATTGAATTATGCTATAAGATGAATCTGTACCTTTCTGGATGACAAGAGCATATTAAACTTTTCTGTCTGTTTATCTTATTTGATTTATAAAAGTGCATCAATGTTTATATGAATCATTTCTCTTACTCAAGTTTTACTTATGCGTCTATAACTATTGCATTGTCCGAACCATGAAGACTCTTTTTCATATATATATATATATATATATATATATATATATATATATATATATATATATAGTTTACAGAAGCTTGTGCAGTTCACTTGCAACATTGTAAAGGCGGCAATAACATAGCTTGTTGTGAGCTATGACTTGTTAAACCCACCACTCACCTTATAGCATTGGAATCTTTGTCCAGCTTTACAATTTTTAGCATCCTAATCACCTTTTCTGAGCATCCACATATCTTTATTTTGGTCTTATATTAGGATTTACCATAATCCTTCAAATTTTTTACTCCTCTCCTTAACTTGATTTTCGTTTCTATGTGCAGGTGAAGCATAAGATTGGGGTAGAGGAAATTGTGAATCATGTCTTACAGGCATGGGAAGCAGCAACAAAGACGAAACGTCATTGATATTTCTTCGAAAAATGTTCTCCTCTTATGTTGGGTCCTTTCGGCTTTCATGCACGTTACAGTAATAACTTAGGAAACATGATCTTCACTACTTGGACCTGGCCCCTTATGTTGTATCTATTCGTGCATGTCACTTTTAACTTCAGAAACATGATGTTCGTATTTGGAGCAGACCATTATGTTGTGTCTATTCGTGCATGTTACATTAACAACTTCAGAAACATGTTATTAGTTAATCCAATAAAATTGTGATATGGTTGAAAGAAAGACCGAAGCATAGTTAACTCGGAACTTGGCAAATCAAGTTAGTTGAAATTGAGCATTAAAATTTGCTCATTCCACTCTATTTTCGCCCCCCTTTTTAATTTTTAAGCTTTACATTGTGGAGTTTATTACGGTGCACCTGTAGGAAGGTGCTGTATTGGCAGATCAATTACAACTTTAAGAAGTTAAAAATCTTGATTTAATATAAATCTCCTAAGTTATTTTGTAAGTACATTACTTCGGTTGTATATATTATTTACTTTTATAAGTAAAGAAGGTATAAAAGTTGTTTCACTAAACATCAAAATTGTATCCTGTTATAATTTATGTTGCAAATAATATATTAATGCTTCACATTCCCAGTTGCATAGACATGAAGTGATTATCACAAGTAGAGTGAGTACATGAAGTAATTCTTCAATGTTCTTGAACCAGTGTTTGGCAAAGGGATTTGGTGTGTCCGTCAACTGAGTGGAGTTGGGACTAGCTGACTTATCTCCTTTGCAAGTGCAAGATTTTCATTCATCTCATCTCTCCTTTATTAATTTATTCTTTTCCTTTTCACTTTTAAGCAATTTGAAGTTTGTAGTCCACAACTTCTTCCAGTTTGTAACAAAATTTTCAAATGAAAATGAAATCTTTCTGTCATTTTATCATTAATTATTTAAATGAGGGAATGAATCAATAAGAAGATATTATCCCGGTCTAATATTCAAGTAAAAAATTGATAAAATGCGGTGAGCGTGGATCGAACACGCGACCTTCAGATCTTCAGTCTGACGCTCTCCCAACTGAGCTATCCCCGCAACGTGTCTATTTTAACAATCATATTATATTTCACCATTTCTGAGAGTTTTGCGTAAAGGTAGCAAAAAGGAATTATTATAACCTACTAAAAAAAAAATTTATTATAAAACGAAAAAATATCAGATTGAAGAGAAAAGGAAAATGATTGAAGGGTTGAACGGATGAATGTCGGTGGGGGACACTTATTGGCAGTAATGGACGAGGACGGTGGCTTAGGATATCGTATCATTGATGGTTGGAAGTAGAACTGTGTACTGTAACAACCAACAAGGACAATCACCTTTTTTTTTTTCCCAACACTTTGATATTTATTTATTTATTTATTTTTTTAATTTTTTAATTTATTTTTTTTACGCCTATTTAAGGGATTCTATTTTTAGAGTAAATATCATTTTTGGTTCCTAACAAAAAAACATGGTTTCCACTTTAGTCCCTTACAAAAATAAATTAGTCAATTAGTCCCTAACAAATTCAAAGTGGATCCATTTAGTTGAAATCGTGGTCTGTCACAAATTCAAAAAAGACCTATATTAATCCCTCAAAAGGACTAAAATGGGTCTACTTTGAATTTGTTAGGGACTAACTGACTAATTTATTTTTGTAAGGAACTAAAGTAGGGACCGTATTTTTTGTTAGAGACCAAAAATGATGTTTACTCTTATTTTTATATGAATTACATAAGAATTTTCAATACAAGTTAAAAAAAGAAAGAAAGTTGGAAGGAGTTCGATCTTGTTTAGGAAATACGTACTTTAATTGTTGACTTCAATCATTTAATTTCAGTTTATTATTTTTACTATTTAAAGTCTTAATGTAGATAATTTATATACACTTAGTCCAAAATAACGTTATTTTGAGATAAAAATTAAAGTATTTTTGTAATTATAAATTATTTCAGGATTATAATAATTTTTTTATTATAATTTTTTAACCCAAAACAACATCATTTTGGGAGTGAATATAGATAATTTATCTATATTCACTATAAAAACATTAAAGCTTTATAAAAACTATAATAACTCTGAAATAAATTAAAATTATAAAAACACGATAATATCTGTACAAAATAACGTGTGCTTAGTGCACATAAACGGCATAAAAAACCCTGAAAAAAGAAAAGTGCATTGCGTGCAGCTTGAGACGAAAGAATTAATGATTCCTAACTCCGTTACTCGTGAATATGCAGAGCAAGTAGATTAACAACACCACATACTTTCGTTTGAAGCATAGCAAATCTGTCACCCCTTAAAAATATTCATTGTGTTGCATAATTTAAAAACACAAACAAATACATATAATTGCTGCTAATCATGTGTTTCAAAAATCATACTTAATTTTCTCCAAAACTTATGATAAGTTCACACACTGCTAAAACGATTATCTATACATTTTGTGGTCACTATCCACACGCACACTTATAATATACATAATACAGTGTGAAACAATATACATTAAAAAATGCGGGAAGAAAAAAAAAAGGGGGGGGGGGGGGGGGGGGGGGGGGGGGGGGGGGGGTAACATTCACCAATCAAACTTCACTTTTTGATGAATGCACTCTATCAGCTTACCTTTCATAAAATCAATTCCCACTTGCATAAAGTGCAGGCACCAAAAACTAAAGTGAAAACAAACCAATACCACTAGCTAAGGGAAGCTTTAGAAAAAATGTAAACTAAAAGAGAGTCCCATGTTAATTAGTCAAACAAATTTCCAAGTGCATTTTTCTTTCCACATGCAACTGGTAACATCTCTTTTTGATTTTGCCTTTGAGGAATATCTTGGTTAGATGTCAAAGTTGATTCACTTCCTGAAATCACTCTTTGCTTTTTCATATATTCCAATTTGTCTTGAAAGAGGTAAACCAATCCAATGAATGTGATTTCCATTGTGAAAAGGATAGTCCAAAGCCTTGTCCCTTTTAAGGTTCTCTTATGGTAAGCATTTAAACCTGTGTAAATGTTGATGATCCCCACAAGAGAAACTATTGTCCCTAGTATCCAGTGTATTAAGTACCAATAACTCCTCTCTTTCTTTCCCCTGCAAATTCAATTAGAAATTGTGGAACATTAAGGTTAAAACAATATAAAGTTACCCCTTACAGAGAAAATGGGTGCTGCTACTAGACAAAGTGACAATATTGTGAATGAACCTGTGTGGTCTGAAAAATCCAATGAAGCCTTGCATCAATATAGCAACGTAAAGTGCCAGGCCTAATCTTTGGTGGTTGTTATCAAATGAATTCTCAAACTTTTTCAGAGACACAGCAGCTCCAACAGTGGCAAGAAGCACTGAAAGCATCTGTTAAATGAAATGTTATACTCTATCCAATGAGGAAAGAAAGGCCACATCTACTTTAAATGTATAATAACTCCCAACTAGTTCAGTTGATCAAATGATAATCATAATATTGTTGTTAATTGAAACAAATCCAAGTAATAGAAAACCGGTGGCTTAAAAGATAATACATCATTAGAAAAAGCTTTTGACACTCCACTACTAAAGTTAAAGTAAGTTATGATTATTTTGTAGAACATAGATGAAAACTTCAATGATTACATAATGTAACTTTCAAGAAGCATCTTATACTCCAGCTCACATCTTTTTATATATATATATATATAACCGTTGATCTACTTGCATTTAATGGCTTTAATTTATTAGTAACATGAATTGTTCGATGCAAGTGGAATCAATAATTAAGATTAAGAATGTAACTAATGCTGATATGAAATGAAGAACAAACAGAAGAGATATGTGACCTGAAAAGCAACATGGAGATAGAAGAGGACTCTACTCTTTCTTGATCCAGGTTCCGCTTTACTGGACCCTCTGATTGTAAGTATCCCAAGAGGCATTAAGAACCCCATTGATGCCCACAGAAGCAATCCATGCAGTGCAATATCAGATGTTTTCTGATGATTTACCTGCTATATTAACCGGAAGTAGTTAATTATGTAAGTTTTGTTTCCCAGTCCTTAAACTTGTCATTATAAATTGTTTGGTTGCTTTAGATAAGAAAATAAGAGAAGAGATAAAGATAGGTAGTTACATTTTCTGACTGCTTAAAAAGTTAGGAGCATTGAGAAAGAGGAAGCAGATGAAGATGAAGAAATTATATAGAAAACTCCAACGAAATTGGTGTACCTTGTAAGCTTCGTTATTTGTGCTTTTGCTACCAAGATGATTCACCTCCTCAAAGGCTGTGCAGTCAGTGAATGGAAGAACAAAAACATAAAACGAAACTATAACAAAGTTCATTGGTTTGCAAGAAATATGCATTATCATAGCACAATAAGATAGCAAGACAAACCTACTAATCAGTAATCACTACCCTATATCTTCTCTATCTCTCTGTCTCTCAGTTTTTAAGCTAAAGATGCTTTAGGATATAATTGATTTCTGGGGTGGCAAATAGAGCTTTTAAAATGTGGTGAAGGGACTTCATCCACTTTTTGTATGTATAAAGAAGCTTTAAAAAGTGGTGATATTCAATGTGAATATACTAAGTAAAGGCCAACATGCTGTAATTGCCATAAAATCGATGGGTTCTTCCAACATGAGTTAGTTGAATGCAAATATTAGCTTTTATTCAGAAGAAAGTAAAATGGAAAAGTTAGGGTGTGTATATATACTATCTCAATTCAAATGTGGGGTTGGTTGACATTTGCATACCATGTCATATTGTCATATTGTCATGGACGCGTTGAATTGATAAACAAAAGGGTCAAAATCCTATGGATACATGCTGTGCTTGATTTGAGGGGGGACAATTTGTAATGGTAATTAAGGTGGATAAAATCAAGAGACATAACCATTGTATTCTTTACTTCAATCATTTGTTTACTTTAACTTTTTCAGGGCATTTCCTTTAATCCAAAATAATTAACGTGCATGATTTTGTGTCTAACTTAGTTTAAAACAAATTACATATACCCACAATCCCACATAGCCTTAACTTGATTTCAGATTTTACAGAGACAGTGTTACCCATATAGTACATTTTTTTTTTCTTTTACTGTTTATGTCATGAGTATTTAGACTTCAACAATGCTACGCTCACACACTAAAATAAATATTATATTGTATCTTAATGTTTTTTTATCTGATTATAGTAAGGTTTATAATAAGCCAAATCATATAAATTATAATCAACAATCCGCATAAATATAAAGTTAATAATATATCAATTTAAATTATTCTTAGAACCCTTTTTTGGTTGAATAAGCCTTGGAATAGTCATGATAGAACGACTGGACACCAACGTAACATCCACCTCAACGTCTCATGATTATTTAACATGGCCAATTTCATGTTAAAAACGCCCATGACCAATGAGTGTACGTGGTGGTTCAGTCATCTTTTGCGTACTAAACCTCTTTCTTCCGAGGGGCATTCACTAATAGGGTTTAATTATTGAAAAAAAGTACGTCTTATTTTAAGCAACGTAAGGTTGTGTCATTTTAAGAGAGAGAAAAAGATAGATAAAAGAGGGGATAGAGAGAATTGACAAAGAAATAAAGGTGCGAGTCTCACCTCTTTGTGAAAATGAAAGGATATAAATTATATCATTTACAAGAATAAATATTTTTCTCTTAATTATTATAGTGTTATAAGAGATAAATTTATTTTTTATACATATATAAAAATATGTAAGGCTAATAATGCTTTTTTTTTCTTCTCTTCATACGAGTCATACAAGCCTCATATATTTTTATGTATATATAAGAAATAAATTTATCACATGACATAAGAAATATTAAACCCTTCTCTAATATCCACATGACATATATGGATTTTATTAGTGTTATGTAACATAATGTAAGTGTTGTTTCCAACTCTCATATCAAAAGAGAGAAAGAAAGTGGAATGATGAAAGAGAAAGAAAAACATGTAGACTCACCTCTTTAAGTATATTTAAGAAAACGGACCGAGGATGCCAACATTTTCATGTAACTTTTTGAAAGTTGGTACTTGCACGTTGGGGTGGTAAAAAAAGGTGTCACCAATTGAGTTCGCCCGTTTGATTTGTCATGGGTTAAACTCACGGTAAGATGAGTTGATCTGTTAGTTAGACTGATTTATTTATTTTGTAAATAAAAATATTAAACATCCTTGATTTGTATTTCATATCTGTTATATTTATGAGAAATACAATTTTTAATTTTTTTTTATCTTTTTACTATCTAGAAGGGTTGATGGGGCGGATTACCCGCTCTCTTACCTCTCCTTCAACGAATGCAAACATTAACAGAGATATTATGTTTCACACGTACATAACTGCATACTGATTGTACAAAATCCTCCATTTTTTTTAAGCAAAATAATACATTTCACATTTGACGAAGTTAAAATATTTAGCAATAATAATAATAATCATCATTTTTGGGGAAAAAAGTGTGTCATTTTAAATGACACACTTTGTGTCATTTCACTCTCATGAAGAAGTGAGACTCACACCTTCAAAAAAAATTTCACTCATTCTCTTTTCCATGATCTATCTTTTTCTCTCATTTAAAATAACAACTTTATATTCTTTAAAATGATATATATTTTTTTCATCATTTTTGCTACGCTAAATCCATTTTCATCTTTAGTTTCTGTTAACCTCACATGTGGTGTTTCTAGATCAGTGGCATCTTGATTAAAAGCTTGACCCAATTTTAAATTGGCAAATGCTTAAGTGGCCAGGTTGATCTATTGTTTGATTAGTGATGTTTATTGGAATGAATAACAATGATTATTCACTACTTACTGAATAATTGTCAAGAGAAAAGCTATTTGTTCATAATTATTATCAGAGAATAATATAAATCATTAAAAAGGCTCCTACCTAATACCTACTTTAAAGAGAAGTTTTAGGTTGAAGTGATTCTTAACATGGTATCAAAGCTTAAGTAACCATAAGGTTACGAGTTCTATCCTCACCACCCCAACTTGTGGAAATAAATAAAAAACACAAAAGGTAAACCAAAAATTAAACCTGTGCAATATCTACACTTCAAGTCCAAAGAGCTCTTGCATGAGAGATATTAGAGAATAATATAAATCATTAAAAGACCCTTATCTAATACTTAAAATTTTTGATTAAAGTGATTCTTAACAATTATTTCTATTTCTTGAATTGCCTGTGTGGTATATGAAACGGGCACTATATAGCTCGAGTTTAGAGCAACTCTAAAAAGAATAATGTTACTCATATATTTTGTGAGTATAAATAATCTCACATTAGATTTAAATAAAAAAATTAGATTATAAATATATAAAAAAATTAAAATTATTATGACAAAAGGGAGGAACTTTATCAATGAATTAAGTAGAAAACCGAACCATAAAAAAAAATTACATTATATTTTAATTTATTGGATATTAAGTTTATAAGTCTTTCCATTTATATCATTCTCACTTAATTCATCTTTAATTAATGAAGAAATTTATTAACTTGAACTCGAAACTATTGATTAAGTTGAAATAATCTCTCGTCAATTGATTCTGTAATTACTATATATACTTAAATTATAATAAAATAAAATAAATTGTAATTAAATAACAAAGAACATTACTTTTTTTTTTTTTTGAAGTACATGGGAATCGAACTGCAACACACACCCACTAAACACTACACACACCCCACCACCACTAGACTAGCCCTAGTGGGTTAGAACATTACTCTCTACACCAAAAAAGAACATTACTCTAATTTAAATAAGAAATGGTTTGTGGCAGAACATTGTACATCTATTATCAATTGATAATTCTACTGAATAGGACAAAGTTGGAATAATAATGGCAATCATTACGGTTGCATTATTTTCAAAGATTTGGCATCAAGTCAATATCACCGTAAATTAATATTTCATAAAATTTTCATCAGGTTCCTTTTTCTAGGATAAAGTCTCGGGAGTGAGAGATTGGAATTTTTATTTTTATTTTTATATAGGTATTATACTTTTTAAACGGATATTTAATATACTCCGCTTCAAAATTTATGAATATTGATTTGATACTAGTTAGAAAGTCATCCTATCTTAATATTTTCGTTGCTATACCTATGATAAGTTCTTGACTTGTACCAAAATCAGCAGATTATGGACATTAATCTTGAAGTAGGAAATACTGAAAAGAAAAGAGAAGGGACAAAAAGCACAGAAAAAAGAGACTTCTGAATGAGTTAAATCCGTGTAATATTAATTAAAATAAAATATTCTGCTATGTTATCATTCAAATTTGTTTGCCCGACATTCATAAGGTGAAATGAGTCCCACCCCACATGAGATAACAAGAGCTACCTAATATCACTCTTTCTTTTATGTCCTTCTAGAAACATGATTATTTCCTCTCTACAAATGTCAAATTTTAATAAAACCATATTATTTCTATATAATTATATAAAATTATTATATCCAACATGATGTCATGTCATTTTTCGCCCCTATGAAGATGTGTGTTACGATTTTATTTATGTTATTTTATTATTTTTTGAATTATTGAATTATTTAAGTAATGGGTAGTTATTTTTCTTGTTTTGTTATTAATGGAGTGTATTTGATGTTAGTGGGTAGTTACTTTTGTGATTGACTCATATTATCTATTTAAACATTGAAATAAAAATTATCATATAAAGATTAGAAAAGTTATTCCAAAAAGCACTTGTGCAAGAGGTCAGGCTTCCTCAATAAAGTCATTTGAGGTCAGATTTTCTCAATAAAGTCATTCTCCTATTTTTATTTATTTTGTTCGTAACAATTGGTATCAGAGTTCAGGCATGTACAAACGTGTTCCGAAATTGGAAGACACGATCCAGTCTTTGTTGGAGCAATTCAATGAGATGTTCAACCAATTATCCAACCGGTTGGACGTCTTGGTGGCTAACAGGCCCAACACCCTCTTATCTGCTATTGGGCTGGCAAAACTATACGAGATCCGCAATCAGAAGATCATATTTCCTACTCAGAATGTGCAACAAACCATAACAGTAAGTAACACCAAGGGGTCATCTTTATCCACTCCTACCAACAGTGCTGCATCTTTCGACAGTGGCGCCTCTTCCACCGGTTCGACTCCCGGTCGCTGTTTGACCTTTGAAGAGATATTTGAGCGCCAACAAATGGGGTGGTGCTTTCGCTGTAATGACACATTCACTCCAGCCATCACTGCAAACAATTGTTCACCATCCAAGCAGAGGCGATGATGGACGAAAGTGAAGGAGGAGTGGATATTGAAGATGATTCAGTCACTTGATATTTAACTTACTCTTGAGGACAAGAGTAATTTTAGGGGGA